TCCTGCCCTGTGGGAAATCCAAGTTCCTTCCCCCTCCCTCCAGGTCCAGGAAGGTGAGCATCCAAACAGGCCAGTCCATGCAGACGAAACAAGACCCAGTGCCATTTTCAATGGCTTCTCAGTCTTCATTTGGACCATGGGGGCTCAGTCAGCCCCCATGTCAACCACATTCAGAGAGTCCGGTTTGGTCACATGCTCGTTCAGTCCCAGTCCAGCTGGCCTTGGTGAGCTCTCATTCGATCAGTCCCCTTGTATCAGTGGGTGAACGCACCCTTCGCGGTCCTGACTTCCAGTACTCCAATGTGGATCTCCGTCTCTATCTCCATCCATCGTCAGATGAAGACCCCCTCCGATTTTGCTTTCCTTGCTCACGATCTCCCTCCCTCTGCTTCTCATTTGGACCTAGGGAGCCAAGCCCAGTGTTCCAATATGTGTCTCTGTCTCTATCTCCATCCATCGCCATGTGAAGGTTCTGTGGCGATATGCAAAATATTCATCAGTATGGTTATAGGCCAAGGCCAGTTCAGGCACGCTCTCCTCTGCTACCCAGAGTACAATCTGGGGACCTCTCCTTGGGTTTGGGAACCCCTCCAGAATCAAGTCTCTTGCAAACCCTAAAATGGCTCCCTTAGTTGAGAAATAAACTTCCCTAATCCCATAACCATTCTTCCTCCCTCCCCCTCCCATTCCCCCAAGCCATCCCCAATCCTCCCCCTCTCCCCTCTCCCTAACCATCTCCCCTTACTTCCACCCCCCCACCGTGCACCCAAGTTTGCCTGGCAATCTTGCCTACTTCTAATATCCAGGAGGATAACTATATGATTTTCTTCAAGTTCACCTTCTTATTTAGCTTCTCTAGGATCACAAATTATAGACTCAAAGACCTTTAACTATGGCTAGAATCCACTTATGAGTGAGTACATACCATATTCCTCTTTTTGGGTCTGGGTTACCTCACTCAGAAAAGCGTTTTCTATTTCCTTCCATTTGCATGCAAAATTCAAGATGTCATTGTTTTTTACCGCTGAGTAAAACTCTAATGTGTATATGTTCCACACCTTTTTTAATCATTCTTCTATTGAGGGGCACCTAGGTTGTTTCCATGTTCTGTCTATTACAGATAGTGCAGCTATGAACATAGTTGAACAAATGCTTTTGTAGTCTGATAGGGCATCTCTTGGGTATATTCCCAAGAGTAGAATTGCTGGGTCCTGAGGGAGGTTGACTCCCAGTTTCCTGAGAAACAGTCACACTGATTTCCACAGTGGCTGTACAAGTTTGCATCCCCACCAACAATGGATGAGTGTTCCCCTCATTCCACATCCTCTTCAGCATAGGCTATCATTGGTGTTTTTAACTTTAGCTATTCTGACAGGTGTAAGATGGTACCTCAAAGTGGTTTTGATTTGCATTTCCCTGATCGTTAAGGAGGTTGAGCATTTTCTTAAGTGTCTTCTGGCCATTCGAAGTTCATCTGTTGTGAATTCTCTGTTCAGTTCAGTACCCCATCTTTTAATTGGGTTAATTAGAGTTTTAGTGTCTAGTTTCTTGAATTCTTTGTATATTTTGGAGTTCAGCCCTTGTCTGATGAGGGGTTGGTGAAGATCTTCTCCCAGTCAGAAGGTAGCCTTTTTGTCTTAGTGACAGTGTCGTTTGCTTTACAGAAGCTTCTCAGTTTCAGGAGGTCCCATTTATTCATTGAGTCTCTTATTGTCTGTGCTACTGGGGTTCTACTAAGGAAGTGGCCTCCTGTGCCTATATCTTGTAGACTACTTGCCACTTTCTCTTCTATCAGGTTCAAAGTGGTCAGATTAATGTTGATGTCTTTAATCCATTTGGACTTCAGTTTTGTGCATGGTAATAGATATGGATCTACTTTCATTCTTCTACAGGTTGACATCCAGTTATGCCAGCACCATTTGTTAAAGATGCTTTCCTTCTTCCGTTGTATACCTTTAGCACCCTTGTCGAAAATCAGGTGTTCATAGGTTTGTGGGTTAATATCTGGGTCTTCTATTCGATTCCATAGGTCGACTTCTCCGTTCTTATGCCAATACCAAGCTGTTTTCAATACTGTAGCTGTGTAATAGAGTTTGAAGTCAGGGATGGTAATGCCTCCAGAAGTTCCTTTATTGTATAAGATTGTTTTGGCTATCCTGGGTTTTTTGTTTTGCCATATAAACTTGATTATTGTTCTCTCAAGGTCTGTGAAGAAGTTTGATGGGATTTTGATCAGGAGAAAGTCTCAATCCTGAATATCTATGCCCCTAATATGAAGGCACCCAGTTATGTAAAAGAAACACTTCTAGAACTCAAGGCAGTCATCAAACCACAAACACTAATAGTAGGAGACTTCAATACACCTCTCTCACCAATGGACAGATCAATCAGACAGAAACCCAACAGAGAAATAAGAGAATTATTGGAGGTATTGAATCAAATGGACTTAACAGATATCTATAGAAGATTTCACCCAAATAGGAAAGAATATACCTTCTTCTCTGCAGCCCATGGAACCTTCTCAAAAATTGACCACATGCTTGGTAACAAAGCAAACTTTCACAGATACAAAAAATAGTATTAACCACCTGTGTCTTGTCAGATCACCATGGATTAAAGTTAGAATTCAACAACAATACTACCCCCAAGAAGCCAACAAACTCATGGAAGTTGAACTGTCAAGTAGGATTTTCATTCTTTTACAGAGCCGGCGAGCTGGGAATCAGTGATCAGTTTGCCTCCTGTGGCTGAGACTCTTTCCTGTGAATTAAAATCCTCTGCCCTCATGCAAACTTCTGCTAGTATGGGTGACTAAGCAGTGCTTACAGCATTCCACTGCCTTCCTAAACCAAAGCACCAAAATCCAAATACCACCAAACAAAAACGTCAGGATTATTACGGCAGAGCGCCAATCCCTGGTGCCAAATGGCTATTTAGGGTTTCTATTATGGTGAAGAGACATCATAATCATGGCAACTCATTTAATGGAAAACTTTTACTTAAAATGGCAGCTTACAGTTTCAGAGGTTTACTCCATTATCATCATATCAGGAACCATGTCAGCATGCAGACAGACCTGGTGCTGGAAAAGTAATTGAGAGTCCTACATCTTACCGGCAATGAGAAGTAGTCGATGGCAATGGGAGATATTTAATATCTTGAGAATCGCTTTGTGGTAAGCTATGATTTTTGTAACTCAGATGTTAGTTAAATATTTATTTATATTATTTTATGCACACGAGTGTTTGCCTGAATGTGTATTAGTACTATATGCACTCAGAACCTGCAGAGGCCAGGAAAGGGCAAAATATTCCCTGGAATTAGAGTTTTAGGCAGTTGTGCACTGCTGTATGGGTGCTGGGAACCAAATCTGTATAGTCTGCAATAGCAGCAAGTGTGCTTAACCATTTTCAAAACCATAATTCAGTGTGTTTTAAAATCAGTTAACTTTAACATATTTCTAAAATTAAATCCTAATTGTAATTGTACTAAAGTTAATAACGAGCAGTGGCCTAAAGCTTTTGAAATATCACAAAGATTTCTATCTTAAATACATATATTTAAATATATATGTTTGTGTTTATATATGAATATATATATATATATATATAGAGAGAGATAATTATATTATATACGATGTAAAATTTGCTGTAGTACAAGAAAATGTTTTTTAACCATCTGTTAGTTGTGGAAATATAAGGCAATAGTGGGTTTTCCAGACGTTGTTAGATTCCTAAGAACCTACTTAGCCCAATTACATTATTTTTGCATGTATTTATTTGCAATTACATGAGAAGTCCTAGGCAAGAAAAAAAAATGTAGGCCTCAAAATAATTTTTTGTGGACTTCAAGTATTTTATCCTTTAAGGTTTTTATCTTATGGCCTATTTTATGGAATCTATGTAGGTTTAATAAAATACTGGATATACCTTGGAAGACAATCTTTGGTGAACATGAATGGAGAATGTGTAGTGTATTACAGGAAAATAATTTGGAAAAACAAATTAATACCCTATATAAATAAAGTTAATTATTTTGGAAATACTAAGAATATCTATTTTAAACTTTTCTTTCCAATTATTCTTTATTTTCTGCTTCTCTAAAAGGAAGAGTAACAGTTGAAGTTTTATGATATGCAAACAATTCTTATGTATAAGCACACATATGTTTAGACAAATAGTTTTGTTTTAGAAGACAGTTGTGGGTGTGATTGAATTCTTTCATTTGTCAGATGGTTTGTGAAAATAGGAAGATAGAAAGTTAGAAGCATCTATGTTATAAATTCCTGGGTGACCATAAACTGTGTCTAAGTTTGTCAAATTCCAGATCAACCTACATCCATTAATAAAGACAAGAGTCAGAAATGGCATGCTTATGATTTTATTTTTATAAATATGATAGATTATGGCCACATTACTCCAGTGGCCCAGTCAACCAAAGCCAGGAGTTTCTTACTCATTATCTGAAAGAAAAAACATGAAGAGAAGTTATAAAGAAATCTTAACAAGATGAATTTTCTCATCCCTTTCTAACACCTTTAATGATGTAGATAGAAGTCCATGTCTTTTTTCTCTTTCTCTAATCTTTGTCCATTCCATTTCTTGTTATTTTTATTCAATATTGTAACCATTTAGCATATAATGTTCTCTGGAAAACAGAAAACGAACCAAATATATTTATTGGTTATATGGCTTTAGCGAGAATGCATTTGATGTTAAAATGGTGAATAGGTGAGTGACTATTTATAAAGTTGGGTAACTAAGACAAATTTTACACTAGTGAAAAAGAAAAACCAGTTGAAAGTCCATTGACAGGATATAAAACCAACCAAAGACAGCAAGAGTCATAGAAAGTTAAGGCTCACTACTGTAAAAACCAAATCCACCATGGAAATGAACACAGACATGCTGTCTCTGAACTATTATGGATTTTTTTTAAAATAATTAATAGAAGGGTACTATGAAAATAAGAAAATGTCTGTGTGTATTTCCTTTTCTTTTTAAAATATGGAATGCTACACAAATTTCTGTGAAATCCTTGTACAATGGCCAAGCTAATCTTATCTGTATTGTTCCAAATTTTAGGATAAGTGTTGTTGAAGCAAAGATCTGTATGTATTTCTAATAAACTATTGAAGAAATTAGTGGAAGCCTTTATTGATGGAGATGGTGAAAAGGATTGATAACTTAACTTTCGAAAATTAACTTGATGCCTTGATTTCTCATTTATTTATTTTTTCTCATTCTGGGCAAAGTTGGTGGGGTTTCTGGCATGAGCAACGAGGCAGCAGAATTTATGAATAACATTGCACTTCTTGCACAAACAATAAAACTCAGATTGTCAAGCATGTATAAGCATTGCTCCTAACAATCATAATAACTTGAGCAGTATACAAAATATTAATCATCTTCCTATACAACAACAGATTATCCAAATAATGTAATATTCAAAAATAGTGAATATCCAAATATAATAGAAATAGTAATGAGAACCTAAATTATGTAATATAAATGTATTTAAAGTTGAGTTAGCACAGCTTGTGCTTTTAAAACTATAGGAAATAAGATGCTTCATTAACAGTGAAATCAAATCCTACCTTATGATGTATCTTTGATTACTGAGAATCCTGATCCTGGGAAGATTCCTGAGGTCTGCCTCCCTGTTGGGGTGTGCCTTGTTGGTTTCCTTGCTGAGGGCCTTGGTTCTGCTGTTGGCCTCCTTGCTGGGGTGGGCCTTGCTGGTTTCCTTGTTGAGGGCCTTGGTTCTGCTGTTGGCCTCCATGCTGAGGTGGGCCTTGCTGGTTTCCTTGTTGAGGGCCTTGGGTCTGCTGTTGGCCTCCTTGCTGGGGTGGGCCTTGCTGGTTTCCTTGCTGAGGGCGTTGGTTCTGCTGCTGACCTCCTTGCTGGGGTGGGCCTTGCTGGTTTCCTTGTTGAGGGCCTTGATTCTGCTGTTGGCCTCCTTGTTGTGGTGGGCCTTGCTGGTTTCCAGGCTGAGGGCCTTGGTTCTGCTGTTGGCCTCCTTGTTGGGGTGGGCCTTGCTGGGGTGGGCCACGCTGGGGTGGGCCTTGCTGGGGTGGGCCACGCTGGGGTGGGCCTTGTTGGGGTGGTCCTCGCTGGGGTGGGCCTTGTTGGGGTGGGCCTTGCTGGGGTGGGCCATGCTGGGGTGGGCCTTGCTGGGGTGGTCCACGCTGGGGTGGGCCTTGTTGGGGTGGACCTTGCTGGGGTGGACCATGCTGGGGTGGGCCTTGCTGGGTTGGTCCACGTTGGGGTGGGCCTTGCTGGGGTGGACCATGCTTAGGACCAGAACCATGTTGGCGAGAATGACCATGGGGGTATGCTGCAACAGAGGGTTTTTGATTAGAATCTGAGATGCCAACTCACGTTCTTTATTTGATACATCACAAAAAGTGGCAAGTTTAGTATTGAATCAAATTCCCTCTTTCCTTTTATCAACAGCTCAATGACTACTACATTGTTCCTCTTACTCATTTGTGAGTCATCCTCATGATCATTCCCACCTAGTTTTTCTGGAAATACACGTATTAATGGTGTCAAACAGTGAATCTTTATGCTTGTGACTAGAATTTGAGGTCTTAGAAAACTTATTTTTCAGTCATCATCCATGGGCAAGACATAGGATTTTAAAATTATTTGACTATTCAACCCAGAAATGTCCTTGTGTCCTTTCTTCTGTTCTACATTCACAGTGGCAAGATACCTGTTATCCCCTGATTACTTCTTTACAGGATATTCACAGTTGACCTTCCTTCTATGAATCTTCCTGTTCGATCCTTCTCAACACATAGAGGTGACTCTAGGGATACAGCCCTACTTTTTCAACTTTCTCTACCGATCCCTAATCAAGTTTGTATTACACATGACAACACTCAATTCCTTATTTGGAATGACAATTCAAACACAATACTTTGGTACTGATTCTACATTCCTGCCTTTGTGCTAATCCTCTTCTCCCTCTCTGTTTCTTGCTGAATGACACGTAATCTGTTACCCAAAGGCAGATCACCTGAACAAACGACCATTTTTGTCTTACCTTCACTGAAGCTCTGAAGAGAGCTCAGGGCCAGCAAGGCCACTGTGAACAGGGAAAACAGCATCTTGGAGTCTCTGGAGTTTCTTCCAAGTCTGTGCTGCATGCAGTGTGGTACCTGCGTTTATATGACCCAGCAGAAGAATGGTGCCTTTGATCCTGTCCTGGGTGACCTCATATTTGATAAAGTAGGAAATACTGCATCCTTGACCCTTCTTTGGGAGTTCGGCCAGCTAGTATAACATGAGGCATTGGCAGCTGGACTTGGTCGAAGAGCAGATGAATCATGGCTATGATGTTAAAATCTATATTAAAATTTTGCCATTATATGAATTTCATTGTATTTGGTACACAGTTCTTATATAAAGTTATGATAGTGCTGACTGATACTTTTGTAAACATGAAGATGTTTCATATCTTTAGCCTTCATTTTCATCCATAGATCACCAATCACACTGTAACTATGGGTGTGATATGTAGTTGTATTTTCCATGATATCCAGGTAATTTATGTTTGGATAAGATGCATTCCCTGCCACCTCATTTATTCTTAACCACAAAGTTTATTCAAAATCCTTAACATGTTTTTTGAAATGAGAAACACTTGGAGCCTTACATTACCAAAATATTTTATTCTTTGGGTGTGTGAAATTTTGAGTGTTTGTGTGTTTCTGTCATGCATGTTTTGTGTGTGTGTTTGTATGTGTGTGTTCATGTGCAGTTCGTTACAGTCCTGGGGTAGTATGGACAGAGGACAACTTTGTTTCCAGGTATTCAGAATCTTCTTTCTGTGCTGTATTTAGGATTAGACAGCTCATTGGCCTTAAATCATCATGTTGAAAAACTTTTTGATGTACAAGTCTCCAAGGACACAGATAGTTCCATCTCCTAGGACATATATTTTTAGAATTTTTGAAATATGTCCTTCTACATAGCTTTTTCCCTTGATTTAGAAAACAGAATATTGTTCTTATGACCAGAAGAAAGTTCTATTATTGATTGAGCCATCTCCACAGCTCTTAAAGCTTCTAATCTTAACAATAATACTACAAAAAGTGGCATGGGATTTCTACGATGCTTAAGACAAATGCATAATTCCTTGACAAAGCCATACCATTTCATGTTTCTGGGATTGCGACAAATTCCTTTCCAGAATGTCCCATATAACTGGGCTTTTACCTTCTCACTTTAAGGAAATGTTTTCGACCACTACTAGTAACCAATGACTGGTCATGATTATACAATAGAATTCAGTATTTGCCTAACAACAGCAAATTTTAATCATATAACATATTTGTTCTAACTTCTCATATGATCCTATGCTCCTTTCTTTGAGTGGTCAACACTGAATATTTTCTTTGCTTCATGTTGATATTATTTCGATTCCAACATCTGTTTTAACCTAAACTACTAGGTGTTTGGGTTTTTTTTCTTTTTCTTTTGTTTGTTTTGGATTTTCTTTTTTCTTTTTTTCTTTCTTTCTATCTTCTTCTTTTTCTTCTTTTTTTTTCCTATTTTTTGACAGGGTTTCTCATCCACCTGTCTCTGCCTCCACAGTGCTGGGACTAAAGGTGTGTACCACCACTGTACAGCCTAATCTACAGTAATTAGAAGTAAGTGCTCGAACATTTTTTCTTGTGGCATTTCTTTCTGTCTAACTAGCTTTTATTTTCAGATAGTATAAGATTATTTCTAAAAGACTCCAAATTCTTATTATTTCTATTCTTCTGTATGTTGCTCAATTTTTTATTTAAAATTTGGTTACAAAATGTCATTACATTTCCAGTCAACTGTCTTTGTTTACTGTCTTTTAATGTGGGTCTATTTTGTCCAATCTGAAAATAAGCAGTTCATCTAAGTTTATTCATCTAAACAGCTGGTCTAGACAGACAGCCTGAAAATGTGAGCCAATTGCCATGTTTTCCAAAGGCCAGAGAGTTGGAACTTCCTTCTAGTTCCTTCAAGGTTATTGTGGGCTTTTTGTTTGTTTGTTTTGGTTTCAGGTTTGTGGTTTTTCCCTGTTTGACAGCTGTAGCTGTCCTGGAACTTGCTCTGTGTACAAAGGTGGCCTCAAAATCACGGAGATCCACCTGCCTCTGCCTCCCCAGTGTTGGGGTTATTGTGTTTCTACTTCAAAGTTCCCACCAAGATTCAGGTCAGAGATTTCTGCTTTCTCAAGGGTATTGTCAACAGGTGTGGCTAATAGCTGGACCTTGTTCTCCAGGAATAGAGAAATAGATTATGTTCCTAGCTCACACAAAAGTCTAAGGATTATACTAAGTTTCCAGTATCCTTAAAAAGGTTACTTTGGATTCCACCCAGGGAGTAGTTTGCCTACAGAATGTTTTGATATAGGGTGTAAGTATGACTTGTTTTGTTCTAGCAACAGAATGTTTAACTATGAATGTAGCCCACAACCTTCAACTGGTATGTTCATTTCCTTGTATCATGATAATGCAGTCTTTTATCTTACTCTTACCTTTTGGGGTCAAAGGGTAGTTTAAGCAATTGAAAATTAAATGCAGGCAAATTTCAATACTCACTGGAATCTTCTCCCAATACTATCCTGTATGTTTCTCCATTTTATTATTTTCTTTCATGTCTTTATATTATTAACTAATATTTTCTAAATCCCTATGTCTTAACCTTGGAGCTAAGAATTTTGTCATGTTTGGTTCCTGACACTGGTCTTTTTACTTCACACTTATATTGCTCATTTTCATACCAAATTAGTTTCAGTTTTTGTTTTGTTGAGGTAAATTATGGTGTTGGGTCATGGCAGTTCAAAGCCAAGCACTCTCTTAAGTGCAAATCACTGTCCCCTCTATTATGCATTTAATTAACTGTTATTTTTCAATTACTGAGATTTCAGGAAGCTTTTCTCAGTTGAGTTTTTTTTTAAAAAAAAAAGTGGTATTGGACGGGAATAGACTATGATTTGACAATTCTTCCAGGCTAAATTGAAATCTGATAAGCTCATGTCATTTACCTTGATTGGATGCCGGATATATGATAGCATTATTTGGTCCTGAATGTTTCCTTAATTTATTACCATAACTA